CCCTTGTTATCACTGACATCACCCTTGTTATCATTGACATCACCCTTGTTATCATTGACATCACCCTTGTTATCATTGACATCACCCTTGTTATCATTGACATCACCCTTGTTATCATTGACATCATTAACTCATTCTCATCACAAATCATCACCATTTACAATAATCTTCATCATGATCATCAACCATTTTTTGTTTGATTTATTAAAGCCATCACAACACAGCACTATTTGGTATAAAGTATCTCAAAAGTGTCACAAAGCAGTGTTACTTCAATTTAAAACTACTTTATCACTAAGTACTAAGGAATTTTATCATATGACCCATATTTCGGCCCTACTCGCTCTCTTAAAAATCCCTTGAAAATGGTCATGCGATGGGGACCTTATACCTTTTCACAACAGGGCAGTACAAACCCGTATCTTCCCGGCTTGAAGTTCTGTGCACTTTTATTCTTTTTTACATTAAATAACGCTGTCATTTGATAAAATATGCTGTTGGCAGTACGCTATAAACAGCCTGTGACCCTCAGCCTGTATAAAGCAATGCCTCCATTCTCGGTAACTAACTCGGTTAACTAAATCTTTAGTACTTACAATGGACTGGTCTCTTTCAATCTTGACAGCTGAGAGTAACAATGACACAACTCTACATCGCGTCTCTCTTGAAAACATGAACAGATCTATTGTTTGTATTTCCCTAGCAAGACAAAACATGAACAGCATTACAATGTAAAATATGTAATTTGAACTCACATAAAAATCATAAAGCTACATATTGTACAAAGTAACACTGACTTTAGGAATTTTTATTCTATCAGTACTCCCTGACATTAATATTTTGTCCAAAAGATTAATACCACAAAACACATGTTTGAATTAGCAAAACTAAATTTATGGACTAGCTCTAGACTATTTTATGAGAGGCCACAAGAGGCTATTTGGCAACTGCAGTCTAAATTAGTTACCACATTCAACCATTACATTAGTGAGCAGTGAGAACAGACGTGTCACTCCTGCACTTACTCAATATTGCTGAGCCTTGCTACTTCTAATGTGTGTTGAACAAGTGAGAGAGGAATAGAAAACTCTAAAGAACCCTGAAACAAAGACAATTTGATTTGATTTGATAATAGGATTACAATACAATACAATACAATTATAATTGTGGGTGGCAT